GGTGCTTGCTGCCATTCGGGCAAATTCCAGATGTCTTCGCCTCTCATTTTTGTTTGTACCTGTTGGGGGTTGCTTGCACATATTAATAATTGATGATCGTCATGGTCAGAAAAGCACTTTTGAAAATGTTAGCTACCAAACTGAAAAAGCACAGTTAAGAAGTGAGGGTTATTATGGATCCCAGTAACATCAGAACCCTTCGCCATCAGGGACAACTTCCACGATTTGATTAATTTAGTATGGCAAAAAGTCTGCAGAGTGGGAAAAATTGTATGGTTTTTTATAATAGTTGGAGTTGGGCGTCAAGAATTTAGAGGTACTGGTGTCGCACATAAGCATTTATGTTTCACTTCCTGGACGTGGAATACGTGAATCACACCGTGATTCTAAAGATCGGTAGGTTATGGGGTGGTTAAAATTCCTCAGTGTATTGCCACCTTTCCACAAGGAGACACCGTTAAAGGGGTACCTACCAAATGTCGGCACCAATCAGCAGTATTTTCGCCTCTAATTATTTGTATTTTTAGCAAGTGCTTGAGCAAGCAAAAAAATTTGCGGTACACAGTCGTCGTAGGCGTGTCACTGCTGCGGACTTCGATTCGGCAGTTGCATTGGAAGGCTACCCGGTATGTGTTAACTTCTTGAATTCTGTTCATTTTTTCGTGATTGCTGTTTAGCGCGAATAAGAGAGAGGGGGTTTTTTTTCAGCCGTTGTTTGGCTTCTCTGCCAACGATGAATTGCCGTTTCGTTTTGCTGGTTCGATGGGACGTGATCTGTTCGTTGCGGACGAACGTGATCTAGAAATTACACCAATAGTAAATGCGCCAGCAGTAAAATTGCCTTATGACATCAACATCAAGGGTAGGTCGTTGTTTGATTCTTTTGATTTTTTCCGCTGCTACTTCCATTAATGCTACTTTTAGTTTAAAGAAAAAATTTCGGTTTTTGGATTTCAAATAAGGTAAAGAGCTTTCTGCCAGAGTAAAACCTGGGTAACCGTTTTAGAATTTCTCAAAATTGTTGTTTACGGTTGAGTCTTTGAAAGCAAAATAGCTCGCACAGATGACGGATCCGTTGTCTTTTTCAAAAATATTGCTAGAATACTT